ATCAACACCATACAAGAATTTTTTTGAAAAAAAAAAGCCCCTTTTAGTGTTAAAAAAAAAAAAATTTTTTTTGGTGGAAGATTTGGGGGGACCTTTTTATAACAATTCCCTTTTCCCCAATTAGATGAAAAAAAATGTTTTACAGTGAGCAAAATAAGAAGAAATTTTAGCAATACTTTGTTGGATATTTACAATTTGTTTTATTAATTTTTAAGAATTTCAATTTAACTATCAAGAACAAATCACAAAATCAGTCCACCCAAAGAATGGAATGGGGGGTTGTAAGTGTACAAATTTCAAACAACCATTTCACTGTAGAATCGAATTTAATACAGTCATTGACATATCAAACAAACCATCTTACATATACTGAGTAAACATGACTGGCGATTGAGCGGAAGAGATAAGGTTTATCTTAAGGATTACCATTGTAACAAGGGAGGGAGAAGTAACTTGCTGCTGGGACGAAGCTCCCATTCAGCAAAACACACAAAAAAACACTACCATGAATGTGCAAGAAGGTTCTTATAGCAGGGAGTAACTGAGGAAAGCAGGCCAGGTATGTATATTTTTTTTATTTGCCATTTCAAGCTAACACAATCATTATATATATATTTGAAAAAGGAAAGAAACTGCAAAATCTCAATACAAATTCATCCAGACACTCAGGCACTACCATTCCTATATGTGCGCACACTTAACCAAAACACAAATCAGCCTAATGGATAGGAACTGAGAATAGAAAGGGGGCAGGAAACATGCATGAATTCATCTGCTTGCTTGTGTGCACACACATACACACATGTACATGCATACACTCACACATACGTTCATGCATGCACTCACGCAAACATACATGTATGCACTCACAGATATGTACATGCATGCACTCACACATACGTACATGCATGCACTCACACATACATGCATGCACTCACACGTACACTCACATACATACATGCATGCACTCACAAATACTACACGCATGCACTCACGCACGCACACACATGGAAGCACATACATATAAACTCTTTTCTGTGTGAAGGGAAGTATCTAGAATTCTGTAAAGAATACGAGATCTAAAAAATTATCTGATAAGCATAAGTAGCCAAATATGTATTGGAAATGGATGATAACGTACTTGAAAATTAAAAACTACCAACATTATAACATTTTACGAATACCCCAGTGTTTTAAACTCTCCCTCATTTGTTCATATCCACTGATGCTAATCTTAAAAAGTATATTATCAAATATTTTTTATAAACCCAATACATCAATAATGGCTGGATATTCATGTTAAATATCAATGATTACAAATTTGAGGCAGTCTATTTTTGTTTTGTTGTAACAAGATGGACATGTACTTTTACAAATAAGAAATTACCATGCTTTGTTATCATTCTATACATGATATGTATCTAAAGACTTGTATTACATAGACCCCACACTGAGAGAACAGTTAAGGGAGATACCAAGAAAAGACCATAATCAACTGAGAATATCAATAAAGCACAAATATTTCTGTTAACAAACAAGAAATTTAATCTAAAATAGTTTTTTATCTATCCAATATTTATATTACAACATAATAAGAAGTTCATTATGGTAGACTTGGCAATGAATTTCTGGAATTGACAAATACATGGCCACACTCCTCACACAGGCAAAATAAAACGCTCATTATTTTTTTGTTTGCAACATACATACAAACATTCCCTCACACATGCTGCTTGTACTCAAAAATATGTCATAAATGCTTTTGGATTCCATTTACAGAATAAGTACAGGGAAATGCTGAAAGAAGATAGACAGATATCTCTCAAGATCTACAACTCAAAATTTAAAAACACCTGGCTTGTGTCCTCGTTGGACTCGTTCTAGTATACATACACAAACTAATTTAGTGCTACAGAATTTAAAGTTAGGCAAAGTTGATCTTTGTACTATTAATATTGTAAGTCTACAACGAAACTGTCAGAAGTCTCATTTTCAAAAATTAAATCACATTTATCAAAAGCTCAGTGTTTCTATATAGCCTCTCCTTACAAAAAGAAATAATATTGATGATGATGGTGGTGATGATACTACTAATAATAATTATTACAATAACCATTATGACTATACAATGAATAATAATAATCATAATAATAAAAAAGTAATTATCTTAACAATAGCTAAATATGAAGCATCTTGTTAAAATATCTGTCAGCAGCCTTACTGTCAAAAGAACATTTAGAAACTGAATTCATACAACTATTAATTACTATTTCCATCCTAATAATAGCTTTCAAAAAGTCTCAACTGCAGACCAAAGCATTTACAACATCAATATTTTACTCTCATTACTGACCAAGATCTGATGAACTCTCACAACAAACAGACTTGTCTGATATTTAAGAACTAAAAGAAGTCTTCATATCTTTTATTAATTATTACCTTTGTCTACAGACTTCTTATTTTCCTCCCGGCCTGCTTAGCCCTGTTTCCCTTTAACTATTCTACCAAACACACACTGATTTCCTGTAGATTCTAACAGAGTTCATTCAAAAATCTAACATGTCTGCTTCTATCAGTGACATCAAAATCTCACTATGTGAAACTCTTAATAGTACATATCACATTAAAAAATACCTGAATGTTGCAAAACCATTCATGGTGTATGTTTATGCCACATTTTCAAAATGTGTCTCAACAATGCGTATTCTATCATATTCATTTAGAAAAAATAATGTTTTCATATTATTTCTATTGAAAAGGTTAAACAAGACACCTAATCCACTCCTAAGTATTAAATGCAAATATCTTAAAAGTTATCAATAATGAAAACACTACGAAACAGAGCAGACAAGCCAGACAGGGGACAAAACTGCAGGCTTTGGGATGGAAGTTATATCCTTACAATGTCAGAAGGATTTCATGACAGTGAGAAAATCTTATGGAACCTTACTGCCAATAAAGAAAAATGACTTCCATAATATCCAATCCTGCAGAATTAGATACACATGCAGTTACATAAAAATAATGTTTTTCTTTTTTTCCTTTTTTTTTTCTTTTTTTCCTTAATATTTTAATATAATCAGTACACAAAAACAGTAAACATTTAAAAGTTACAATATGGCTTCTTCCCAAATTTCCTATTGAAACACCACTAAACTTAAAAATGAATTAGGCAAGCTTTCAGACACAAAGCTAATAGAGACAATTAAGAAATAATGGCAATAGAACAGGAGAAAGAGATGATATAAATAGCCTATAATACACCTGAGTTTATACATGTAGGCAGAATGAAATTTTATATATTTGTGGTTAAAATCATACAAAGTTAGCTATACAGTTTCTGTGACATCTAACAGTTTAATTGTACTCTTCATAAATACATAGAAATGTATATATCTTTGAAAAATAATTCAACATCTGTTTATGATTTTTTTTCAACTTAAATGTATTTTAGTTCAAAAATTTTCTCAAAAGCGCAGGACTACTTTGATTTGATAAAAGTGGAAATCAAGTTCATCTAATAGCTAGACTTCACAGTTTACAAATGTTATATATATATATGTATATATGTATTGTACCTTCAATTCATTCTGACCTACAATCTTCTGCTCCTCTCCTGTATCAGACAGGGTCACCAAATTTTAGCTACACAGGAGTTTTTATCAGGAATTCTTTCCTGTATATAATGCAATAAATAATAATGTAAGCAGCACAAATGCTCTCTATGGCTTAAAAGTTGATGATCTTGCCACACATATCCGAACTCTGAAATTAAACATGGCCTAAAAAAAATAAATACACAGATAAATATTACCAACAATAATGACAATTATTACAATAATATAGTAATAAATAAAATATAACCAAATTATCATAAAGTAAAAACCTTTGACAGAAGAACTTTGGGTATTCTCCAGTTCATCAACATTCTATGTGTACTAAAATGCCATTTCAGAATTCGAAGTATGCTGTAAAGTAAACAACCAATGTCTGTGGTCATCTCTCTGTCCTGGACTGCCAACAATGTGGTGAATTTAGCTCCTTTACATTTTACAAAACTTTCTTGACTATATAAGAATTTTTTATTGTACAAAAAACTGTCCCATTCCACACAAGGCACTATCCTGCCTGTATGAAATAGGAAGAAATTCAGTGATTGAGTTATTGCAGACATGTCAGTCACAGATGACTGACACAATATAGAAAAAAGTAGAAAATAATAATAATAATAATAATTCCAGATTTTTACAAAAATGTCAGAAGATGTAAGTAAAAATTTAGCAAATGCAAAGCATTATGTGGTAAAACTCTTACTTTTAACTTGGAAAAACCTTAAACATGAAGTTCTTCTTTATATAAAACATATATAAATTCTGAAATTTCTAGCTGAATGTACCTACATGTGAGAGCGAGCCAGCCATACCAAAGAGCTGAAAAGTATTCTGCATAGCATTTAGGTACTAACAACATATGATTCTAAAGCATCATACAGAAAGACTGCAGACATTGAAAATGTTACAGCTACTTTTCTTACAAGACGAGCTGCCTTTCACATGGCCAATGAACTTCAATAATTTTCATGAAACTGAGAAAGAGTATGTACGAGAGAAAACAAAATACAAACAGAAACAAAGACAGGAGTAAACAAGCAATAACTATGCAAACCAGAATATAAATTTCACTGACATCACTTTGATATTTCATCCTTATTAAACCCTAAAATGCATGTGGCTCTACCATCAACTGATTTGATTTCATCTCATCTAAAAGCCAAAAGCAATTAATAATGAACTCTGTCAAACGGTTTCCTTATATAAAATGTTCTGCAGACAAATATGAGTTAGAACTACATACTGTTAGAGAATCTGAATGCTCACAATTGGGTCATCCTCAGAACTGATCTTTTAACAGATGAGAAGAAATTATACATATATATATATAAAAAAAAATCCCTACATCTACATGACATGAGATCAAATACATTTTTTTCCAAGACTTTTGAGAGCTACCTTCTGTTTTAAATACTACTATAATAATCAATAAATATGAACCAAACACTGGGAACCATATTTTCCAACAACATTTAGCAACGTGCAACATGTATTTCCACCATTTTTACATAAAAAAAAAAAAAAAAATGATGATAGAGAAACTATAAAATTATCAAAACCATAATAACTGAAGACTGCATAGGCCAGTATCTTTTTTTTTTTTTTTTTTCTTTTTTTGAGTGGAATTGTGGCATTAAAACAATAAAATGACCAAACTTGCTAAAGTGTATTTGAAATATATGATCCCACAGACAAAGACCCTGTAGGCGTTATCTTTATCTACCAATCAGACGCCCTCAACATACTAACAACTTCAAGCTAATATCTTTATCAATCTAGTGAGATCAGGACTTGAGTGTCCCCTGACTGGCTAGTTAAGTGGACGAAGACACACACATAATTAATATTATATACAGATAAGACAGAAGTGACATTGCCTTAAGTCAGAGAATGTTTCATCAATGAAGTGCATTGCTAAGAAGAAAGAGAAGAGAAGGAGGAAGAACAGATAGAGGAAGGGGAGGAAAAGTACAAAAAAGAAAATAAGGAAGAGGACAAGGAAAAGGTAGGATGGGGAGACTGAGGAAGAGGAGGAGGAGGAGGAGGAAAAGTAGGAAACGGAGATTGAAGAAGATAAAGGATTAAAAGGTTGATGCAGAAAAAGAGGAAGAGGAAGAAAAATGAAAGAAGAGTGAAGCAGTAGAAAAGGCTAAAAAAATCATCTCAAGCTCAAACAAAGAAAGAAAAAAGAAAAGGAAAAAATCATAAACTATTCACAGTAATATAAAAAAAATGTACAGCAAATTTCATTTTGAAAAATGATCTCCAGTTATTCAAGATGATAAAAGATGTAGTGCTTACTTTTAAGCCTTTACAATTATATCCTTAAGAATCAATATATTTGGACAAATATAATTTCCACTGAGTGCTTTTTGTAAATTTTCTAGGTGCTTTTATATATGTGACTGTAACTGATTTTGTGTGATTTGTGTTTGTGTGTATGTATGTATGTATAAGCATATGAATATGTGTAAGTTTTATGAAAATGTTTATGTATATATATCTGTATGTGTATATGTGTATGTGTACAAACATGTATGCATGTGTATTATGTATACATGTATGTGTATGTGTGCACCTGCATGTGTGTGCAGAGGATACACAGATGTGTACACAAACAAATACACACAAACATGCACATGTAAATTCACATATACACATTTTTTAACATATGTATGAAGAAACATACACATGCATAAATACACACTACAGACATACACACATTATCTAATTATGCTGAAAAGTATTAAGATATCCATCCATCATCTATTATTCACTAAGTGGATAAACTTTCCTGTTGTCACATTCACATCCTTATCCATTAGTGCATTCTTCAAATGGAACCATTCGCAAACCTTCCATCTTTCTTTTCTTCAATCATTGATTTACTCTTCATTGGGATTGCCATTTCCAGAACAAATCCGTAGGAAGAATCTTAAGACACTGAAACGCGCACAATTCTCGCCGACTTATCTGTGGTGGTGTGCTGACTAATGACTTATGTCTGACAGTCTATGAAGAAAATGTTAGTGGTCACTATTATTTCCTATATGGAAGCAGCTGCTCTCCCCACCTCTTCTGAAAAGTGTCCTACCCTGTGCACTCAACAAAATCTTTTGCATACATAGAATTATGTATTCTTGAATATCCTCAAACCTTTATACATCATTAGGTAATCAATCCTTGTATCACTTTTTAAATGTAATTCTATTATCGTCATTCTTTTAAGGTCTACTTCCATGATGCTGAAAAAAGGATTTAACTGTACATTTTCATATATTTTATTCCTTTCATACTTTCTTACTTTTAAAAAATTCCTTGTTATAGTATTTTTTTTTATATATTTATGTACATGTATTTTTTATTTTATTTTTTTTAATAATTTTTTTGGGGGGTTAGACAATCTCACCCTAACACATCACTTTCACAAGTGGCAGCCACCTCTGTTTGGAAGTCTCATTACATCAATATTTTACAGAAAACTATGAGGCAAAGTCAACTTCTCAACCTCTGAAGTGAGAAAGAGAAACACACACAAACACCCTAATCAACACAAAGGAATTCCAGTCACAGTACACCAAAGACGCATGTAGCTTGCGTATGCCAAATTTTCCACAATAAGCAAGTCTTCTACATCCTGTCCTAGTCTGTGGATGCTGCTGCTCCTCGTCTCACCATGGCAGGACTTCCCCAGCTTTCTCCCGCAGGTCCTAAGCTGGCCTGAGGTCATACAGGAGTTGGCTGCTGCAGTGCATTTGTGATTCTGGTCCACAATTCCTTCTTGCATGACTTTGACCTTGGAAAGAGAATTCAGAGGCTTATTAAAACAGAAGAAAGAAAGAAAGAAAGAAAAAACAATCAAACATATACACTTTTTCCCCTCCTGCTGTAATTATAAAATATACCATATCAGAAAATTATTGAGAATGAAAAAATGAAGGGAAGAAAAGATACAAGACAGGAGGCAACACAGGAGAACATAAAATACAAATCTTTGTACCTTCTCAATGCTTGCAGTAGCTCATTGAACTGTACCATTCCACCTGGCGTCATTTGGAAGGCAGACCGGGCAGCCCGGATGATGGAGATAAACTCGTCGTATTCAGTTGGGGTTATGTAATACATCTTGAGGTGGGTACATTGGATGAACCTGCATTTGGTGAAAACGAAGTCGTTAATAAACAATTAATAGTAGTAACATGACTTTTCTAAACATTATAACCTCTATTTCTACATATGAATATATAATTGTGTGTGTGTGTGTGTGTGTGTGTGTGTGTGTGTGTGTGTGTGTGTGTGTGCTTGTGTGTGTGTGTGCTTGTGTGTGGTGTTGTGTGTGTGTGTGCTTGTGTGTGCTTGTGTGTGTGTGTGTGTGTGTGTGTGTGTGTGTGTGTGTGTGTGTGTGTGTGTGTGTGTGTGGTGTGTGTTGTGTGTTGTGTGTGGTGTGTGTGCATGCGTGTGGTGTGTGGTGTGTGTGCGGCATGTGTGCGTGCATGTGTGCGTGCAGTGTGTGTATGCATGTGTGCATGTGTATGTGTGTGCATGTGTATATGTGTGTATGTGTATGTGTGTATGTGTGTACATGTGTATGTGTGTGTGCATGTGTATATGTGTGTACATGTGTATGTGTGTGTGTGTATGTGTGTATGTGTATGTGTGTGCATGTGTGCATGTGTGTGCATGTGTATGTGTGCATATGTGTGTGCATGTGTGTGTGCATGTGTGTGTGATGTGTGTATGCATGTGTGTGCATGTGTGTTGTGTGGTGCATGTGTGGTATGTATGTGTGTGTGGTGTGTGCATGTGTATGTGTGTGTGCGTGTATGTGTATATGTGTGTGTGCGTGTGTGTATGTGTGTGTGTGTGTGTGTGTGTGTGTGTGTGTTGTGTGTGTGTGTGTGTGTGTGTGTGTGTGTGTGTGTGTGTGTGTGTGTGTGTGTGTGGTGTGTGTGTGCGTGTGTGTGCGTGCATGTGTGTGCATGTGTGTTTGTGCTTGTGTGCACGCGTGTGTGTGCGTATGTGTGTGGGTATATACATGTCCATATAAGCTACTTAAAAAACAAAACAAAAAAAACTCACATCTGTTGACATTTCTGTACAAGAGGTTGCAGAATTGGAGAACGGAGCTGCTGTGAGAAGAGGGCTGGTGAGTGCCGAGCTAGATACTGAGCTGACTCAACAGACAGTTCCTGAAGCACGAAGGGTGAAACCCACACTATTCACCGAACATACAGAACTGATGAAGATACTGTTGACCTGTAGGATAAAATGAGTGTGTAAATCAAATGTATATCTATAAATAAATAAATATGCTGGACAAAAATGGGGGAAGGAATAAACTAGCTAAGAAAATACGTGTGTGTGTGTGTGTGTGTGTGTGTGTGTGTGTGTGTGTGTGTGTGTGTGTGTGTGTGTGTGTGGTGTGTGTGTGTGTGTGTGTGTGTGTGTGTATATATATAATATATTATAATGTGTGTGTGTAGTGTGTGTGTTGGTGTGTGGTGTGTATACACACACAATACACAACACCGAACCGCCACACAATCACACACACATCATACAACACACGAACACACACACACATATTATATATAACTATATATTATAATATTATATAGTGACTATATATATTTATATAATATGCTAGTATTATATGTTATAATATATTACTATAATAAATATATATATATATATTATATATATATAATATATTACGTAGTAACACACTACATTACATTTGGCGTT